TATTATAAAGTAAAATGGATAAAATTTGCCATAAATAAAACATAAAAAGTTATAATTTCATTGTCATAAAATGTATCAGCATAAAATAATTAATATGACATTATATTAGCAACTAATTAAAGCCAGGGTGTTTACAAATCTTGTAATTTTTGTTAAAGTGCTACAATTTCACAAAATGGTGCCATCTACTTATGAGACGTAAAAAAGAAAGCTTATATTACAGCCAAAATTACCTTATCCACATGAACATGATGCAACAGATTTCCCTGCATTTTGCTTTATGGAAAGTTAAAATAACATCAAAATACACCAGTTGTTATGGACACACCAAATATACCTTTTTTTGCAAAAATTTCACATGAAATCATTTAAAACTTTTATAGTGTCATTTTTTTTAAACTGCACGGATTGTTCATGAGGTTTAATATATCCAAGTGTATGTACAAGCATAAAACTTATTTTTAAAACCTAAAATATTACATATAATTAAATCTCTCCCCCAATAAAAATGGAACATGACAATTAGAACAAAAATTGATAACAATTATCAATCTCTAACTACAAAATGTTCGCAAACTCCCCTCTCTGGAAAACTAAAATCTCACCTTTATAACAAACAGATCAAATTCTAAATTTAACATTTAACAAGCTTTGTGCATAGATTTGACATTAAGAAAAGTGAAGAATAAAATATTATGATGACTACATTTTATTTCTCACATGGATAAAACTATCAAATTATTATATATATGACATATTAAGCATAGCACTGAAATACAAAATACTTTACAGAAAGCTAAAACGCAACAAAACTCTGAAACTTCGCAATATGGTATACTTTTTTGAATTCACACTTATGTTTAGATAGAGTAGCATTGACATTTTCATCATAAAAAAATCTATTTGGATTTGTACAAAAAGCAGTGATTTGTAAATTTGTTCACAGCAAATAGTTATGTTTCACAATGACTTACTATTTACACACTGCCATACAGGGGAAAAAAAAAAAAAAAAAAAAAAAAAAAGAAGAAAAGAAAAGAAAAGAAATTAGTGAAACATGTTTTTGAACAAACAAAAGAGAGGCAGACACAGGTTTCCCTCCCCTTAACAAGACAATGAATAAAATATCAAAACTGAATGAAAATCCAATACTTCAAATAATCTTTATTTAAAGTGAAATCAGAAAACAGGGCAAGTGAGATGTATGCATGTTCAAAGAAGTATATTCCTTCAAGATTAAAATAAAGGAATACAAATAAAAATGGCAAATAGTTGGTTTTTTAAACACTAATTGTCTGCCGTTTTTATTTTGATCTTGAAGGAATATACTTCTTTTGACATGCATACATCTCATTTGCCCTGTTGTATGATTTCGCTTTAATTTAAATACAGATTTTTGAAGTATCTGAAGCATTTAAAATATATATTGTGAAATGACATTCATAAGATCTGAAATAGCTTCACTTTAAAAAGGAAGAAAAACTCTTTCAACAAATGAACTACCTTTAGGACACTATTATTTCTGAAGCAGTAATGAAATACTTTACAGAAAAATTTTAAAAATACATTAAAGGGTGAACAAAAAAATCTGGAAAAATGAATATATTGCTTGCTTTCGATAGTATTTCTTATATTAAAAAATATTTTAACAACTTTTAGTTCGTGCATCACATGTACTTATAAAAATGTTAACATTAAATTCACAGTAACTTCCAGATTATATATGACTTCATTTTTACATCTGTTATAATGGCTGTAAAACTTTCAAACTTAAATGATCTTCGTACCCTTACCAATTACATTCAGAAACATTCATTATATTCAATTGAAATTTTATCTTGCATAATTTAAAACAGTAATATTTCATGAGCTGGTATTATATTTTGCAGACATTCTTTAAGACATTTAAATATTAATTTAAAATAGCAGTTTAAATTGATATTAATTTGCAAATATAATATGGCAATTAATATTAAATACCAGCATCTTCCAGATGTAAATATCACTAAAAATATTTAACTGAACGCCTTTTTAAAATACGGTATACATAAAAAGCAACATATAAAATGCTCTGCCACTTAAAAAGTAACAGATATACCAGAATATATATTAATAATCACATGTTTAAACAACAGTTGCTAACATTTACAATCTTCCATAGTGTTACAAAATATACAACTAAAAAACAATATTTTATTGCAAAGTAAAATTTTTAAAAAATCTACACATGCACCTATTTTATCCTATAAACAAAAGAATAATGAAAATGAATTTACAAGAAGAAATGAATTACAAGAGAAAAAACGGACTAGATAAAAAAATGTGACTAATAACTGGAAGAAAAACATAATTGTTGAAAAACATACTTGTTGTGGAACTGCTTAGTTGAATTCCGCTATTGAAGCCTCTTCTGTAAATAACAGTGAATTAAAGTTCCAAAAAATGCTGAAATTATTGCACTTGAATAATGAATTAAACATATTCCTCAAATTTTCCTCATCTGCTGCTTTTGAAACATTTGGGTATAACTGATTTAATAACATTTGCAAATCAAATACCTCTTTACCTTAGCAAGTCAGTACTGTCACATTAGTAAGCGTTAGGAAACATAAATACATAATAATGATGATAAAAATTAATAATAAAAATAATGTATGGCAAATTAATTACATGTTTTCCTCTCACTATGAGATTATGGATTTTTCCTCTTTCAGAAATTAACATTGTTACTATAGTAGGCTGGATATCAAAAAAGAAACTTTTCAGAAGATAGGAGAAGAGGTTTTAACTTTTCAGTATACATCTTCTTTAACAACAATGAAATGCTACTCTATTTGGTTGTTATTGAAAAACAGACAAAAACATTATCACACATATTTCAAATTTTATACATTATCACACACATTTAGAAAGAAAAGTCAGAAAACAGTCATAAATACTTTGCATTTACTAAAATAACAGTAAGTAGCATAAAATAGCAGTATACTTTTCATGCTGTCATGAAACTCTACTATCATGCTCATAAGGTGCAAATTAAGCAAGAAATTTATATTGTCACTGTCCCTTCACGGATAACACATATAGATGAAAAAAAGTAAGATTAGGTCAGAGTCAAAATGGAATGCACAAAAAAAAAAAAAAAAAAAAAACACGTAAAAGTACCCTACTAGCAGGCAAAACATTTCAAAAGAAAATTGGTTCATTCAGGAGAGAAACATTCCTATTTAGTTTATTTAAACCAACAATTCTGAAGAAGGATATTTTAAATATAAAAGCTTATTAACAACTTGGAAAAGATAATACAAAGTAACGTTTACTAATATGCTCATTGCTTCATAATTATTTTGCTATTTTGAACTTTCTCAACAACTTGGATATTTCAAAAATTTTCATCATTACTATTATTTTAAACTGTTTAATTATTACTCCAGTCCACCACAATTAAAAAGACAACTGATGTGTTCTATTTTTTAGTACCTTATTTTCAGATTTTTCGCTTTTTAGTAGAGCATATTTGCATTCCCTTCGCAATTTGCTTACCCCATACTGACACAGTGATCTCATATCCACATTTATGTTTTTCCAATTATTATTTGTATACCTAACTCTTTGTAATTTCTAATGTTTTTTCAACCCTTACTTATGAAGTTGATTTTATTCACTTCATTTATTGTAGGATTTCATTGCTTCTATAAAACAGAACTTGCATTGAAAAATGCTAACATTTTATTGAGAAATGCTCTGAAACAGCCCATTTCCAACTTTAACAATGTTCAGAGATGCATACTGGATTTGTGATGCTACAGATTTAATAAGCATGCCATTTATTTGAGATCATGCTTATTACATAGATGCTATAACAAACTGATTTTCATTGCTAAAACATTTTCATTTAAGTTACCTACATTTTTACGGAATAGCTGTATCAATTGCTAAGTACAATAACCAAAATCACGCATCATATTTTGATGGAAAAGATTAATGGATAGTTTGGAACAAAAGACAGTCAGTTTCAGAAATTGCACTGGTTTTTCAAATTCATGAAAATATAAAGTACATCGAATTCCCCCTTCCTCCCATTTTATGAGCAAATGTGAAAAAATTTACTGTATTAAACTATTAATTACTAACTACTATTAATTTTGGAAATATAAAAACAGAATCACAAAAATTCAATAATTGATTAAAAAAAACAGAAATATTGCTGAAATTTCTCCTTTTCTTCATAATATATACAATATATTTAAAAAATTCTGATATTTATACTAAGAACAACAATGCCAAGTTTAAATTGCATGTAACTAATATATACAACAAATGCTTTATCTCCCATAAAATCAATAAGGCAATTAAAATACATAATGTGTTGTTTCACTGTATGGTTATTCTCCACAATATGCACATTTTAAATACACAAATAATATCTTAAAGAATAATAAATACTACTTAAACTCAAGTGTGGAAACATTCAACATAAAATGAATGAGAAAAACTCTCTAGTCACAATGTAATTTAATGCAAAATTAAGTATGTCATGAAAAGTAATGCCGACTTTCCTTTCATGTCATATTTTGCTGCTCTAATGAAGACCTGACATAATGTGAAACTAGCAGAAAAGCAGTTAAAAAACAAAACTTCAAATGCTAAATTGCATTTTATGAAATATAGTATATACCTTATTGCCACTTCATATTATAAACATGTTAAATTTTTATCCATTTTTAATCGCACTTCTAATATTCTAAGAGAACTTTACAACTAAAAATTAGTACTATTTAAGTTTATCTATTGAGATTTGAAAATTAAACATTTTCAATATATTTTACAGCATGCATTCTTTGATTAATTTCATATCTATATGTGTGTGTGTGTGTGTGTGCATATTGGAAAGGTGGTGTTGGTGTTGGTGTTGGTGTATTTAATTATGGCAAAGCACACGAGGGCTATCTGCCTAAAGGGAGGGATGCTTTTCGTGGAGGACTTTCTAAGGGAAACTGGCTCGTATACACGTTACACATGGGGAAAACCACGAAAACGCCCATGCAGCCAGCCCATTCGCGGGATTCGAACCTCAGACCGAACTCCCAGTGTTCAGCGTCTTTACCGCTCGGCCGCTGGTGGGTGCATATTGGAAAGGAGTCAAGGGAGGAAATTTTCAATAATTAAGTTTTAATTTTTGTTGTAGTTTAGTGGGTCCAAACAAAACCAATCATGTTTACATTTCCCCAGCAATTCACTTGTTTGTTTGTGGTTGTAAAGTACAAGAACATCATTTAACCTGCAGGCTAATCTATTTTTAATCAAATTCTCAAAATATTTAAAACCTTCCATTTGTATTGGAAACTTTGAATCATTTTTAAAAAAATAACTAGTAAGGATAGATAAAATACTGTTTTAAAATGAATAGAATTTAAACTAACACTTATCGCTATAGATTAAAAGGAAAAAGGCACAAATTAGTTGTTCCTAATTTCTCTTGTTACACACAGACTGGTCTCAATAATTACAAGTTCTCAATAATCAGAAATACACATAACAGCTCTAAAGAGTATATTATATGTGTCTAAAACTAGGGTAAAATAAGCATGTCTAAAAATGACTAAACTTCTTTAGTACTTAGTATGCTTACAGAAAGAAATATTTTCATACTGCCTAAAATATAAATTAAATGCAAATAGTACACTACCGTACTTCAGCAGTTGTTAAAAACAACAGTAGTGTAAATCCAAAGCTACTAATTATACATGAGATTCATAACAACTGATGGCTAATGAACACATACTAATCACATGAAAAAAATTCTTCATAACCTTCAAAATCGTTCTAATGAGAATTTTTTAGATAAAAAATATTAACATTTTATGGAGTTAAATATTTCAGTACAAAATACTATTATATCAAATATATCACAGATTTAATGACCATTTCAGTCTCCTATCTTCAACTTGAGAAAAGAGCCGTTTCATAGTAATTTTGATTTCTTTGTCTTTTTACAGAAATGTACTTTTGCAATGTAACTTGCAATTACATAAACATCCAAAAAATTGGCACAATGGAAAAGGCACTCACGAAGTCACATACATTAATTGCCTAAATTCATTACAACAAAACTTAGTAGGATGGATGAAATACTTCTTTTGATGTGGAAGGAGCACAGTAATCTTCAGATAAACGTTCTTTAAGAATAGATTCTAGTTCTTCTCTTTGAGAAACAAATTCTTCCTCTAAGCTCTAGAAATGTAAATTATAAATATCAAATAACTATTAACAACATTCAACGATTAACAACTTAAACAACCCAAAAAAAAAAAAAAAAAAAAAAAACCATTCAAGAGGCAAAAACATTCCTTACATACCTGTTTACGAGGTTTTAAACTAATTTTCCATTCCTGCAACTCTGCTGCATGCTGTTCATCCAGTTGCTTTAATTTTGTTGTCTCATGCTCCATTAACATCTTTCTTTTCTCATTCTAAGTACAATAATACCTAATTAATATTTTCATTTACAAAGCTAAAACACTTAAATAATCATTATTACACTGAAGCAGAAAAAATTGCAGATTTAAATCAGGAATAAAGTATGTTCACAACTAAAAAAAAATAATAATAATAACATTTTTGGGAGATTCATGCATGATTTCATGCTTTTTAAGATCTACTGATTTGATTTTTATAAAAATTGGAAAACTTGTGATAAAATCAGCTTTTTTTTTTTTTACATTAAAACATATTTATGTGAGCTTTCTTTAAAAAGTTAAAATCTTTTATGGCAAAAATAGAGATTAAAATAAAATTAACCTTCTACTATTTCAAATATTAGAAAAGATATACAATAAAAAATGAAGCACGTGAATGTACATTATCACCAGAGCATCAGAAAGTTTGGATATGGTACCATAAGAGTTGTTATTTATTACATATTTTTTACACATTAAGGTTATTTTTTAGTGACTATGTAACCTAAGAATATAAAATGGATTAATATCCTGGTTGTAATTAAAAAAATGCTGAGTTTATAAATTTTTAAAATTCTATGGTTTCTCTTCCAAACCAGTACAAGATAATCAACCTTATGTTTCTAATAAACAGGAAACTCATACTATGTTTCAGTCAATACCAACTCTCGTCCGATATTTATTACCCTAGATATTTTCAGCTTTTACACTAGATATTTATAGTATTTTGAAAAGTTAAACAATTATACACAGTAAATTTTCTGCAGTGTAGGATGGAGATGCTTATAGTTCAGCTAAGTTATTCTTTTATTTCTGTAGGATGAATTTTACAAAAATAACAAATTAAAGGTTAGTACCCAAGCTGATATAGCTCTTTATCCTTTTCATCAAAAAAAAAAATTAATGCATAATAATTGAAAAAATATTACTGTTCATCCATCTGATCAGTACATAATGAGGTGTGTGCACTATGAAGTTTTAAAAAACTGATGGGAAAGAAAGAGCTGCACAACCCACTGGGGGAGAAGGACAAAAGGATTATGTTTGCAAAAACTGCTAGAAATTTTTAAACTATCTTCTATTTAACTAAAAAATTCTTGCAAGAAACACAGCACTAAAAATAGTCTTAACATTTCTATACAGTGCCATACAGATAATATTTCACATTATTACTCATTTTCTTAAGTAATATTACACATTTTATTCTTAAGCCCTCTGGTTGATCATCCTGCGAATTCCACGGCAACTCAAATGTAGCAAAATTTGCTCATCCCACGGGCAGAAGTTTTTCATCCTTTATTGAGGAGCGCATTCCGTTTTTTCCCCGTTTAACCATTGAAATAAATTATATACAATATTAGGTGTTTAGTTTACATTTTGGCTAACAGATATCGTTAGTTGTCCACTAAATTGCGGCATTTGAAGGCACATGGTGTTAGAGCTCAAACTTCACTTTTTGCCGCTTTTTCTTGCAGAAATGGCTGCTAGAAAACTTTCAGCGATTATCTTGATTATTAAATTAGTGATTAGATTAATAATTAAGTTTACTGAATCTGGTGCAAAGACTGTGAAGTTTGAACTTTATCATACTAAATTGCACTTTTAAGGTATTATTCCCTCAGCACTTTATATTTTCTTAAATTTTATACATTTTACTTTTTTATATTATGCAATATATGGAAATTAAACTGAAATTCAACAGAAATTTATTTAATTTTTATATTTATTTTATTTTATTTTATTTTATTTTATTTTATTGTGATAACATCTGAAATTGGTTTTTCTGGCAACTTAGTATTTTCTAGAAAGAAAAAGTGCATTTTTCAATTCTCCTATATATATAGATTTAAAATATGCAAAAAAAAATACGCAATTTTGGAAGCGATTTCGGTCTTCAAATTGAGCAGTCAGAGGGTTAAACAATATCTATGAAGCCAAATATATCTCAAACAATATTATCTGCACTATGAAAACAAATGATTCAATTTATTATTAATACCTGTAATTGCTCAAGTTCTTTTATAGTGGTTTCAGCAGATATCCTTAACTCTTCCAACTGCTTTTTCTGCTTTAACTCATGACGCTGTTGCTCTGCTTTATATCGTTTCTTTTCTCCATCCTGAAACTACAAATATACATATATGTATGGAAAAAAATATGTAAAAGATTAAATTAGCACCGTAAATTAATTTCCCTTCTCTATTCTAAAAATAGCAACATCTATTTGCACTGTGTCATTTTGAGAAAAATCTGTGTCGTATGACTCTTAGATAATTCTGGTGATGTAAACTGAACTAAAACTCAAGCAGCCTATAATAATTTTTAATATAGCCTATAATAATTTTTAAGCTATAATAATTTTTAAAAAATGTGAGCCCTTTGGAACAGGCAACAGGCACATTTAATGTGCCGACTTGTAGGTAGCTGAAAAAACTGAAAATTTAATCTGCCTTCGCCTCCAATTTCCTAGTACTTATGGATAAACACTTCTACACCATGAAAATTCCTGCTCCCAAATATATTACATAAACAAGAATAAAAACATGTAAATCAAAATTATAATTTAAATTAATGGGAACCCCTTAATTCTCTATTTCTATTCATTTCGGGATCAATCCATCTCGCATGGCCTGTGTAATGCTATGACGTAGCCAATTCGGAACATAAACTGAAAATTTTGAGAATAGAAACTTTTTTAACCTAAACTAAAACCTTCCTCTTGGTGAGCTTCCATACTGGATAACTCAGCAATTTTAGCTTCACCCTCCATGCTGCTTGGATGCAATTTCATTGTGCTCTCTTCATATCACAATAGTATCACCATATCACAATAGTACCAAGTGAATTGTGGCTACATACATCAATTTAATGAAAAAAAAATGGAATTTACTCGATTGCCAATTTAGATGTTATAAACTTAACATATTAGCATACTATGCATTAAGAATTCTTATTCTTTCCTATGGATCTACGTTCTAAGCATTCTTTCTTCAAATAAATCATATTACTACTATGATTTTTCTCCCAATTAACTAAGACTCCTGCATTTCACCTCCAAACATCTACTGACTACAGAATCATACTCTGGCCAATCAGCTGTATTGATGTTGACCATGACTACACTTTTAGCTCTTGAATAGTTGTGGGAGGTTAGCAGCTTCCTATTTAACTTAAATAATATGTCCCATGACATATCTTTGACTGGAATATTGTTCATACTGTTTTTACTTTACCATAGCAGCGGGAAAGGGATAAAGCATTAGATTCCAAGGCACATAAGTTCAGTTAACATAGCAAACCCAGATCTTCCTTAACTTTCTAATAATATTATTTTTTGCAGGTGATTTTAATTACAGCTATTTTTCAAAACTTAAGTTTAAATTTTCGAGTATGTTGAAAAGTATCTAATTCTTGATCTATAGCAGCATCTACAAAGCAAAAGCATATTTGAATTCAATCCAGCAAAAAAATGGATAAAAGCATATCCATCTCAAAATTATGCAATAAATATGACATTGTAAAATCCCTGTAGTCCTCTGTATGTGTAAACAACATTAAAAAAAGGTGAGGAAAATATTTTGAAATTTTTGTGCATTCTGGCAACCCGCTTGCAATGAATAAAAGGCAAACCTTTCATTATGCTAAAAGCGATGATCACGATAAACTGATTATTGAATGGATGAAACAACATTGCAGCAAGGGTGCACCTTGACAGGTCTAGTGTTACTAATAGGTGCAAGCCAAAGTAGTTCATGATGAAAAGGACATAAAAACTGAATGAACATATTCAACAAGATAGTTAACCAATTTCAAAAATCACCATGGTATGAAGTAGTTAAAAATTTCATGCAGAAAAGCATGGACATATTACTGAAGCAGTTGAACAATTTGTTGATAAGCTATCAAAATCATTTATTTATTTGCAGGAAATAGGTCCAGACCACCAGGAGAGCAACACTGTCCCTAAAGTCTTCATCGAACTCGTTAACAGTGAACATTATCTCTAGGATGTCTCTAGGGTATCTCTAGGAAATATTTATAATACTGACAAAACTGGTCTCTTCTGGCAACATGTGCCCCAGAATACCTTAGTGATCTCTGGAGAAAAGATCGAACTAGTGTGAAAGATTCCACAACATAATTTAGTTGATTTAGTTTATATGCAACTGCAAGAATGCATATAAATGTTTCATAATTGGAGGAAATACATGATCTTGGGCATTTAAAGGAAGATAAGATGGAAAATCTTATTCTTTCCTCCAAACTGTATATTTATCATTCAGCCCATAGATCCTATATCCATTGATTAAAAAAATCTATGCTACATTTTTTAACAGTAGCAAGACCATTTAAATTTTTTTTGTAATATTTCAACATAAAAACTCCTATGTGGAGCAGTGCAAGAGCATGGAAGGACATGCCTGCGTATGTTTTAAAAGATGCTTGGCATAATTTATGGCCACCTACCACATTTCATGATTATGACGGGCATGAATTTGAAAGTTTTCAGATAACACAAACAAAATGCAAAATTTTCCAATTAATGGGTGAAAGAAAGTGAAGTAATAATAATAAATGAAGATGATGAAACAGAAATTCTCCAATGCAATGACCCAATCATCACTCAACTAACGAATGGTGAAATCCATAGAATGGATTTAAGTACAGAAAATATCACTACAGATTATGAAAAAAGTGATAAAAAGATTGATGAAAATGAAAAGATTTCAACTGACAGTTTAATGGGAATTCTTGACATGGCAGTTGCAGAACTTATAGTACCTGAACAATGAATGGAACTTGGTACCTGAACTATGAATGGAACTTGGTACCTGAACTATGAATGGAACTTGGTACCTGAACAAGAAATTATACCTATATATTAAACAGAAGGTAATAGCACAAAAAAAAATGAAACAGCTTAAACAACTTACACTGAAAGAAGTACTTAATAAAACAAATAACTAAACAAATATTGAGCTTTTTTTTTTTTTTTTTTTTTTTTTTTTTTTTTTAATTCCATTAAGTTGCAAGTGTTAGGCAGACTGTTAAGCTGACTTTAGGCAACATAGAAAAAATGATAAACCAAAGGTGTGAACCAAAACTGTTTAGGAACCACTAGGAATGAAGATTTTATGCAACATCAAATTATAAATTTCATTTGTTCAGATGACTTGTTATTGCTAATTAATGTTCAACACAAACATACTTTTCTTATCTTTTCTCTTTCGTCCTCAGGTGATTCAGACAAATTAGCCATGCTTATTCGTAAGCTCTCCCTAAACATTAATTCTCTGGTTTTCATTTCTGCTCTGATGCGCTTTGGCAGTTGTCTTTTTTCAATAGCTTGCCATTTAAGTAATTCTTCTTCTTTACATGCATTCATTCTCTTAATCTGTTCAAGTTCCTAGAAACAAAAGATAAAAAAAATGATAACCTATAATATCTGCATACACAAATTTTTTAAGTATTATAACTATAAACGTTAAATAGAAAGTCTACCACCTGGAAGAGGTAAAATTTTATCACATTTTTTATCTGCAAAATTTCTATGCACATTCATGGATCATAAACTGCTCACGCTAAACAACTGAACTTAGATTAATTTAACCCGCTCAGCATTAAGGCCGAAAATTCCGTATAGAAGGTTGCCTTCCACATTCATTATACATTAAAATTTCTGCTAGCTTTTAATGTATCTGATTTCAGTTTGGATGTATATTGGAAGAAAAGGAATCAAGGTACAAAATGAAAGTGTCATCTTTTAATTAAAATCAAGAAAATATCACTTATTCAATTCATGACATTTTGAGGAACTTGGAAATTTCAAGGCTAAACCCGTAATGCTCAGAGGGTTAAAATGAAAAGCTATTATTATGTGAGTTAGTTTATTTATTTATTTTGAATCCTTTACATAAAGAAAGCAACTGATTCCTCACTTTTGCTATATAATTTTAACTGTTCTTTTCACCTTTTCTGCAAAGCAAATAATAATTATTCTTTTACTGGTTATAAAAATCTGCATTTATTGATCTATTACCTGCAGTTGTAACCAAAAATGCCATGTATATTATACAAGGCATATTTTATATACAGGTAACCCTTGTATAACATGGTAAATAGGTTCCTAGAAAATGCTGTGTTGTGTGAAACCAAGTTGTATGAGACCCAGAGCCAGTATAAAAAGGGAAGTCATGCTCTAAAAACTTACTAAAAACATTTTTTTTTTAATTATACATAAACAACTTAATTTTTTTAAAAAATATATAGGTATGTACAACACAAAACAAAAAATATTACAAATTTTAATTTAACACAACTTTAGTTTAATAAATTTCTTCATTGTCATTACTCAGTATATTCAACAGAGAATGTTTCTTTGGTGGAAAGAGATCGCTTTTACTTTCAGAATTTCTTTCTTCATTTAACTTTTGAATTTTCGGATTATTTCAGCGGATGGTCTGCACTCAAGAAAAATAACTCAAGATTTTCAGCCCAGCGCAGGTCTTCTTTTAATTTTTTTAATGTTAAATTATTAACTCCACAATCTTCATCAGTGTAGTTCAGATCTTCGTCAATTTCTTCTTCCGCTAACAAATCTTAAACGTCATGAATAGCCATGTTCACAAAACCTTCGCCTCTGATTCATTTAGCAAGTTCTAATATGCCACATTTCATTTTCTGACGATTCACGCACGTTTTCTATTTCAACTGAAGAGGGCTATATCTTCTTCTAACATGCATTTAACGTTGAACTTTCAGTTCTTTCAGAGACAAAGATACGATGTCGATTCAGTTCTTGATTGAGAATGTCTTCCAAGCCTCCATTACATTAATTGATTTTGAATTGGTTACGTCTAAAATATGCTGTAATGCTCTTCTTATGTAATATGTTTTAAAAGTATAAATAATACTTTGATCCAATGGTTGCAGTAATGAAATAGTGTTAGGTGGTAGGAACAGTATTTTTTGGCATTAGGTTGATTCAAATCTTGTGGGTGACATGGAGCATTATCTAATAGTAATAAGTGGCTTGAAGCTCAAATTTTTTGCCTTAAACAATGTTCAGCGTCTAGCACAAAACAATTTAAAAACCAATCTTTAAATATATTCCCAGCTACCCAAGCTCTTGGATTTGCTTTCCAATGTACCGGTAAGATATTTTTATTTATGGCCTTAAGCACACAAGGATTTAGAGACCTATAAACTAACAACGGTTTTGCCATAAAGACCAAAGTCATACTGCACAAAAGTAGTGTTAGGCAACTTTTAGACACCTTAAATAAGGATGCAGTTTTTTCCCCTGATACAAAGGCTCTACTGGGCATTTTTTTCCCACCAAAGTCCAGTTTTGAAGGCATCGAAAACTTGAACTGCTGTGGATCCTTACTCTTCTATAATATTTTGGAAATTTTCTGAAAATGCCCTAGCACCTTCATAATCAGCCAATGCAGATTCTCCTTGAATTCTTATGCTATGAATTGCAAAATGCTTTTGAAATTTTTAAACCAACCTTTACTTACCAGGAAATTTGGGTTGACAGAGGGGTTCTCCATGCTCTTTGAGGTGCTTGAAAATTTTGAGTGTTTTTGTTTAATGATATTATCATCCAATGAAATTCTTTTATGACAGCTATCATCAATCCAAAAGCTGAGTGCCTTTTTTATCTTCCAATTACTGGTGCCACCCGGGGGCGAAGTACACACTTTGCGGATGTCGAAGATCCTGCAGCAACTGCACTTCTTATTTCTTTTTCATTTTTCTTAGTAGTCCGGACTGTTTTTTCATTCCAATTAAAATTTTTTCCGATGTGAGATGCCTTTTCTCCTTGTCTTAAAGACGAAGAAGTTACTCTTTAACACATTGTGGCTCAATGCAGACTGCCGACCTGTAGCATCAGACACTTTTGTTTTCAGGCCATGGAGACGAGGATTCCAATTCTGGAAGTTGAATGTCCAGGTCATGCATTTTAGAGCACTCATTGTGACCTCATATTGTTCACCTTCTGAGATAGTGAGGTTTCTTCATTACACATTTGTTCATGTGGGTCAGCTGAGGACATTTGTTCTTACGGGTACCGGATCTTGGAAGACAACTGGCAGAACTTACGAAACAAGGATTCTTATGAGCTAAATGATTATATGGGTGCTTTGCGCAATATGGAAAAACTTCATGCAGAGTTCATTAAATTTCTTCGGATTGCTTGGGCAGTTTTCTTATCATGTTACAGCAAAACCGTATTATAGGAAAACTGTGTTGTAGGAGGGTTCTCACAATTTATGAATAGTGTTATAGAGAAACCATGCTACCGAATGTTGTGTTGTAGGAGGGCTACCTGTACATATATTTTTTACTAAACTAATGAACTTTTAATAATTTATAATAGCACTTAAAATCTTCAATTCTTTTCTCTTCTAAACTTTGAATAATCATTGATTAATGGCTTGCCTGATTATCCCGAATTGTTTCGAGTTCATATATATCGCAGTTAATTATTATCCCATGAAAACTTGGGCCAAGCAGAATTTGTCAGTACGACTAGTTTTATCACAGTTTTGCTTGGCCTAGAGGAAATGAAAGAAAATATTTAGCTTTGATTGGCAGTTTGCCAAGTTTTGTTGGTTTTTTGGTTCTTTTGGTGGGACTGGACGCATGTTTTCCCTATTGTATAGTATACGTCAGCTTGTGCATTAGTAATGTATAAAGAAGGATAGTTGCATTAAAAAAAGTAAAATAATAAGCGATGATGTGAGATAGTGAAAGTGATGATTTTTCAGATATGAGTATGAAGAGGCGGACATTGAAAATAGTGGAAGTTATTCTTCTGTATGTAGCCTTATTGAAGACCATAGTTCAAGTGTCGGATTTGGACGAGAGGTAAGATAATTCCAGAGGTAAGCCAGTAAGAAAAGATACCAGTGTACAGAATGTCAGGTATTACTTTGCATTGCTACTTTTCTCAAAAACTATCATAGAAAGACTAACTTTTTTCATTTGCCTAAGATAACTCGAGATAGTAAACTATTATTAAAACTAAATGCTTTTACACCTGTAAAAAATTAAAAATTCAACTTAAGACCTACATATTTTGTTTTATTCGTTTCCTTGTATTTAATAATAAAATAAAAAAGTGATGATTTTTTGCATTTCTTTTTTTTCAAAAAAATTTGTGAGGGAAGTGGTTAATCATTGGTTAAACAACAATTATTATCATTATCGTTACTCTATTACATCAAACTTGCTGGTTAATAGGATTTTATCAACCTTTTAGATTTGTATGGGCATTTCAATAACAAAATTGCTACTAAAATGTTAAATGAGAAAAACTATGACAAAAGCAAAAATATCATACATTATGCACAAAATTATATAATACATTCTATGACCTTTATATTTACTAAAATTCAGTCATCTAGCCTGTGTTCCTTGGATTCCATTAGGCAGAAATCCTTAAGACCAGCTGAACTCCTTTGTACATTTTCCACTGGATAGCTCAATTAAGATTAAAATCATTCATGATCACTACAGCCTGGAGGTAACGTGAAAAAAATCTATCCTGATGATTCACCAGCAACTGACTTGGTAAAAATGCTGAGCACTGACAGTTTGACCCAAGCTCAAATCCCAGTGAATGGGTTGTTGGCTGTATGGACAGCTGTAAAAACATTGATAACAGCCAGTTTGCCTTAGAACATCGTGCATGATCCTGTTTCCCCTTTGGTAGATAGCCCTTTTACACTTTGTCATAATAAAACTAAACCTATTCCTTCATATTCCAATTCCACAAGCAAATTCCCTGTTTCCATTTCAGATATTCTCATGTGATTAAAAATGACATCACACTTATAAACAGAATAGATGATGCTTCTCACTGCATCAGCCATCACTACTTTGTAGTCACCAAATAAAGATGACTGAGGGGGAAACAATGCCAATACTAATAAGAGAGTTTTATTAAATGAAATATTCACAATTACTTACACTTTCAGAGGACTTTAACATATTCTAAATCCATCTATCCAAATAGCATTCTGATAAACAATTGTCGATATTTTGGAAAATTGCGACCATTGCAGCCATTTGAAATAGAAATTACAATAATGGCATCTTCTGGGGTTCAGTTAAATGTCCCCCCTTTTTCAATAGGCGTAAATTAAAATCTTGTTTTTAATATTACTGTAGTAACTTAATATTTAACTATTTTAGGAATTTTTAATACGCTTGCATTCATACAACTTCAGTATATTGTAAAAGCAGAAACCAATTGGAAAGATGAGTTCATTTATCTATAGATTACATGATATTACTGCTAATTATTTGTAATATACCTTTTCATGACGTACTAGCATTTGATGGCGCTGAAGGAAAAAAATGTCTTTCAACTGTCGTTTTGATAACTGATGCTTTTCTTGCAAATGCCTCTCTTCTAGTTCCCAGATTGCTGCTTCTCGAGCTGCAAGGAAAATATAATACAAAAATTTAAATAATTTTAAAAGGGTAAATAATTTGAAATAAACCTTAATCTTATAATGCTTTTAAGTTATACATACTATAAATTTGTATGATCATCAAAATATTGGCATTAAAAGAAAGGCTCATATAGACTGGGGGTGATGCCCTTAAAATAAATTTTATTTTATTGAAAACGTATATCAATCTAAAGTTCCTTTTTTGCCTAATTTCAAATATGTAAAATGTGCCTCTTATTAAACTCCCTGGTTAATAAAATCAATTGCTTAGTTCATATTTTCAGGAACCAAAACAAACACATACTAATCAAAGGAAAAACTGCCACTTATCAAATGTATCTTCACTGCTTATAAAACTCAGAAAAAGGGTTGATTCTCCAGAATCAGAATACCTAACTGTACCCATGAAAGCTGTTTCTGGTTCTCTATTTAACTTGACAAGAGCTGCTTATTTGTTATTCAGGTATATAGTGCTTCTATAAAACAGTATGTCAAAAATTTTGGCCAAAATGTTCATTCCACTTCACACTTCCTGTACCTGTCAGACATTGTTTACAAAGCTCTTCGTCCAGATAGAAGCTGAGAGGGGTAAAATTTCCTTATCTTAAATTTAATAAAATCTGTTAAAAGGTATTATAAGTGGTCAGTATTCCATCTCAAGTGCCAGCAGATGGGGGTTGAAGTGAAATCTTTGCATCCAGTTTCTTTCAAATTCACATGCTGAAAATGTTTCTGTTAGAAAAAACTCATGTTTACTAGGAGTTCTGGGAAAACTTCATGGTGTATCAATACCATTTGACTCAGATTCCTAACTACTTGCTGGGTGCGTATGTTTGCCCGACAAGTTACTCAACACTGCAATTCCCCCTGCTCTTTTTTATCATTCTTTCCTTTCATGGATGCTCCTTTTTTAAATTGTTTGTCTCTTTTCTACTAATTACTTGCATGTGAATATAACTTTTATGACCATGCAGTTAATTAAGATTCATAAAAGTGACTAAATATATGTTTAAGAGCATTTAGTTAATTTGTGAAATTTTTATTTATAGTTTGGATTTCTAAAGAATCCCTTCCCCCCTTTTTTTATACATTTACACCTGTTAGCTTCACTTCACTTGAATGTTTCTCAAATGTACTACTGCTCGTTCCTCAAGCTTCTCACTGTTGAGGAACTTTTGGATCTTTATTTCAATAAAACATAATCCTCCAGATGTGTTTTCAGCCTTTCTGGTTACTAATTGGATGAGGGAGATAACCTGGCATTCCACATTGTGTATACAGAATCTGAAGAAAGAATGTAAAAAATATTGGCTGGCTGAAATACTATAGACAAGTGCAACACTTCACACTGTACCTCATTCATCTAGTCTCTTGCTAACTCTTCTTATTCTTTCTTTGCCATGTATTAAGTGGTTGTGTTAGGGGTTTGTGTATTGCAAAATGGCTCAAGTATACAAAATTCTCTCTTCAAAAAGTGAGCATCCTAAGTTAATTGCTGTGATCTTTTTTATTAGTGTTGTGAGAAACGCAAAACTCTGAATTATGCATGGTATGCAAACTCCATATTTATAGCTGGACATCATTTTCAAAAAAAAAAAAAAAAAAAAAAAAAAAAAAAAAAATTCATGGACCTGGTGCTAAAAACCAAGATGTGGTTGTAGTAATAGATCATACTAAGCAAAAGGCCCAATACCAATTCAAATTATTTAAGAGGAAATCAATGCTGTCATCATGGAGCAAAGTCATCCTGCAATGCCTATAACCAAGCTCAACATTAAGTTATAAAAATAGCTTGTAAAAATGTTTAGCATCTGCAGCACCTACAATGGCACATATTGATATTCCATTAGAACTTATGTCTACTTGTGATGAAAAATTTTTAACAAAGGATTTTCAGTTCATCATATATAAGTTCAGTTTTCTTATCATTACATAACTTCTTTTGCCTTTTTATAAACTTTTTCTCTTTTTAGCTTCATTTACTAAATATCACTTTCACAGCATGCCTGTTTCGGCCACCAGAGCTCTCTGCCTGTCTGTGAGATATTATTTCGCAATGCGCAGATTGTATGCGTGGCTCGCATTTTGTTCTTGCATTCTTAAAACCGCTCATTGTAACTCTGTCGTTTTTTTACTTTGTGCTGTTTTGTGTTCGAAAGTTCAAACCGCGAATAAAGGTTAAATTTACAGTCCACTCGCAGTGATGTATTCTTAGGTTTATTAATTTAAAGTTAAGATACCGCTTCGCTACATTATTTGGTCCGTCGAGCCGGAGCTTCGAGAATAACCCACGCTTGTGAATAAGAATTCTACGTGTCCGTAATGGAGTTGATAATGCAATTTCGGTTTAGAATTCTCAAGACTTACGGAATGGATACAGTGTTCGAGGTGAGTGAAATAGTTAACGCATTTTAATTGCATTTGAGATTTCGTTATTGCTACTATTGTTGTGTTTAAAGTATTAGTAAAATCGAGAATTTTAGAATATTTTCAAAATGTCAGATATAGAAAAAAAGCGAAAGAAAATTTTGAAAACAACAGTTAACGAAATTCATATCGAGAGAATAGGTTTGATTTATGATAACTTAGATAATGCTGAAAGCTGAATTAATCCTTAGAAAAATGTAAAATCTTTAAGGAAGATTTTAAATCTCTATTTAGAGAAATTTATACAAATTGTGATGATGAAAAATAGACACTTTCGTTGAGGAAGAACAGTCGATTTTAGAGAAAATTGAAGAGGTTCACTTAAAAATTATTCGTAAGTTAAAGATTTACAAGGTCGTAAATGCAAATGGCGACAAACCTGTCGTACCTGAATCAATCTCTGAAAGTTTAAAGTTACCGAAATTATTTTTACCCACATTTAGCGGAAATTTAACAGAATGGATAACATTTAAAGATTTATTTAACGCTAGTGTTCGCAACAATCCAAATCTATCTGGAGCTCAAAAATTACAATATTTAAAGAGTTCTTTGAAAAATGATGCTTATCGCATTATTCAGTCAATTCCCATAGCTGATCAAAATTTCAGTATTGCTGGGAATTTAATAGAAGAGAGATTTTTCTAATAAGAGAGAACAGATATTTGCTTTTATTAAAAGAATCTTAACATTTCACGAATACAAACAGAATCTGCATCATCGATATTAAGTTTAGTAGATAACGTAAACGAAATAACTCGCTCATTGGAAATATTAGATCAAAGGATAGATAATTTTAGTGATACTTTGTTGTATATTATTTTGCAAAAACTTGACGTTTCGACAAAGTTGTGGTGGGAGCGTCAATTAAAAAAAAGACAAAATACCAAAGTTGAATGACTTGATAGAATTTTTGAAGAATTACGCTAGAACATTACAGAACAGTAAACCTTTAATTAGTAAAACGCATAAATCAGATAAACCAGTGTATAATAGGGTTACTTCTCTGATTACTAATTCTACCTGCTTATTTTGTAAAGAAGATCATTTTTTATACAGGTGTTCTAATTTTTTAATTTTACCAGTGCAAAACAAATAGAGTTTGTTAAGACTAATAAACTTTGTTTTAATTGCTTGTCTAATGTCCATAAAGTTAAAATGTGTAAGAGTGCAAAACACCTGCAAGCATTGTTTTAAGCATCATCATAGCATTTTGCATTTAGAAAATAATTTCAAACCAAAAAATGCATCTAGATTCCCTTCACCGGAAGCACAAGTGTTTGTTCCGAAATCGCAAATTAAACCAGAAAACAAAAACAACTTGAGTGAGGTTCTCCAACTGTTTGTGCAAACAACTATGAAAATAAACATTTTTAGAGCTCATGCTAATGGTAAACGTAGTCATGTACTTTTGTGTGTACTGCTTTAATTAAGGTTCAAAACTCAAAAAATGAATTCATAAATTGTAGATGTTTACTAGATTCAGGTAGTGAAAAATCATTCATTCGTCGGAAAACAGCTATCAATTTAGGATTGAGCATAAAGGATTCGATGATGATATTAGTGTCATCATCCTTAGGTACTTTCAATACAACTACTACTGGAGAAGTTGAGTTGTTGTTTACACCTCATTTTAATACTAATTACAGAATTTCAACGTCCGCTTACATAATAGACAAAATTACAGGAAACATTCCAAGTGTAACATTTACCTTTGAATTTATATGAAAATTTCCAAGATTTAACTTTAGCAGATCCTACATTTCATGAATCGGGAGAAATTGATATTTTACTTGGAGTTAATGTATTCCTTACTTTAATAAATGGCGAGGTAATTAAAAGGGGCAAAAATCTTCCATTTGCATGTTGTTCTAAGTTAGGATGGGTAATTGCTGGAACTACACATTTTGAATTCCCAAACCGTAAGCAGGTTTCAGTCAATACGCTAAACGTAAACACGGAGGAATTAGTTAAATCATTTTGGGATTTGGAACAAATTCCCACATCGAAACCTTTAACTAAAGAGGAAAGATTGTGTGAAAAATCATTTCGTGGAAAATCACGTGCGTAGTGAAAAGGGTCGTTACTCAGTAAAACTGCCATTCAAGCCTAAAAGAAATGAGTTAGGTAATTCCAGACCATCAGCCTTTCGCAACTTTCTTAGTCTGGAACAAAAATTAATAAAAACTCCTGAAGTATATCAACAGTATAAAGACTTCATGTCCGAATATTTATCACTTGGACACATGGAAGAATTATCCGATGATAATTTAGATAAAGTAAATTTTCATTATTATATACACCTCATCATCACGTGCTAAAAGAATCCAGTCTTACCACAAAACTACGCGTCGTTTTCAATGCTAGTGCCAAAACTACATCAGGGATATCGCTTAATGACATGCTAATTGAATGCGTTCCAAGATGCATTAGACGAGTTTACTTGGTCACTTTTTGGGCTACTCGCGTAAATTCTCGAAAACATTTGAGAGTGATTACTAATAAGAATAATTTATTTCACTTTTCGAAAATGTACTTTGATCCACTTGGGTTGGTTAGC